CTCCATTTCCAGACCTCCTCTCTCTGATTTGCAAATCCAGTAGGGATTTTCGCTAATGGGTTCTGAAACCTTGACTCTATTGCCGCCTCTAGCTCTAACGAAGCCCGTTGCCGCCGCCGCAGCAGCAGCAGCAGCCGCCGCCCCAACAGCACTAGCTCCAGGGTTTCGGTTCCATCCCACCGACGAAGAGCTCGTTATTTACTACCTCAAGCGCAAGGTCTGTGGAAAATCCTTCCGTTTCAATGCTATTTCTGAGGTCGATATCTACAAGAGTGAGCCGTGGGACCTTGCAGGTAACTCAGATGCTTCGGAGCTTTGTTCTCATCTTGTATGATTCTTCTAATTTTGTTTATTTTATACTCTTATCGGCTTGTTTTTTAGGTGGATTGTTGATCGATTGGTCTTTTTGGGCGTTTATTTTCCCCTGATTGTGATTTTCCCCCAACTTGCCCCATTTTTAAATAGCTTTCTTGCTCTCTGATTGTACTTTTATACTGATTTGAAGGTTTCTTTAATGAGTCTCTGAATCACGTCTTTGAATTTCTAGATTTGTTTGAATGTTATATTTAGGAAAGTCGAGGTTGAAGAGCAGGGACCAGGAGTACTACTTCTTTAGTGTGTTGGACAAGAAATATGGAAATGGTGCTAGGATGAATAGGGCTACAAGCCAAGGGTACTGGAAAGCCACTGGTAATGATCGGCAAGTCCGCCATGATACGAGGACTGTTGGCTTGAAGAAAACATTAGTTTTCCACAGTGGTAGAGCTCCTGATGGGAAGCGGACCAATTGGGTTATGCATGAGTATAGGCTTGTAGATGAAGAACTGGAGAAAGCGGGAGCAGGAACGGGTAGCTCGAAGGTGAGGCCATCATGAAAATCTGCCATGGCAGTCCATTTTGTGTTCTTTTGGCGGCTGTGCGAGTTCTGGTACTTGTGAAATATGTTTAGGCGAAGTTTAGAGTTTGAATGACAATTTTAAGCTTCGGTAGTCCTTTTTTCTTTTCTTTTATGCACTTGTTTCAGCAACCATAGTGTTTTGATTTGCATTTGAAGTTTAGCTTCTTACAACAGCTTTTTGTTTCCTATTCCCTCTCCTTTGGAGAAGGATGCCTATGTTTTATGCAGAGTGTTCCACAAAAGTAATATAGGACCTCCGAATGGACACCGATACGCACCTTTTATTGAGGAGGAATGGGATGACGGTGGGTCAGTTTTGATTCCCGGAGAAGAGATTGCAGACGGTGTAGTAGCTAGTCACGATACACAGTCCGAAAAGAACAGCAATAGCGTGTGTGCTGCTGAGGATCGTAATAACCATGTATGCGGCGATGGAAAGGATGGTATGCAGGTATGTGTTTATCTGAATTTAGTTAGGAACTCATTTCAGAGTGAAGTACTTAAGTTTCTTTCAAATATCATATGAATGAGTTACAGAGTTATGTCTCATCTTGTATATAAGTGTTGATTGTTACTGCCATAGTAGAACTGTCACTTGTGCTTTCCCCGAGTCGGTGTATCTTGTGCAGGATGGAGGCCGAGCGCAACATCACATTTTTCTTGGTTGCTCCTTTTTTAATAGATTCTGGACCTTCACACTCTTCTCCTTTAATTGGTAAATGGCCCTCCTTAGTAATGAAGAGCCTTCTTGATTTTGGTCATCCGTTCAACCAGAAAAAGATCATTTAACTTCAATTTATTAGTGATTTCTATTGGAACTTTTGGCTTGAGTGGAACAACAGTTGGTTCCTATTTCTTTTCTGGCTGTCTCTTGACGTAAACTATATGCTCCTTCCAACAACTATGGCTTGGAAGAGTTTCTTTTATTCCTTTCGTTTGGGACTTGGCTTTCCTCTTTTGCGATCTCATATCGTGTACGATTTGGTCGATTTCTTATCGTTAAACTAACAAAAAAAGAAAGAAGAAGAAAAAGAAGGTAGCCGTACGCATCAAGAGGTGACTGACTATCTACTAGTATCCTTTAGTCTAGACGTTCAAGACCTGAGATTTGACTGTTGAAACTACATGGAGCTAAATGTAGATCACCCTATTCTGTCACTCGTGCCTGAAAGGGGTAGGAGTCTTAGGCAGATATCTGAGTGTAATAGCCTAAGCTCACAGCTAGCAGATGTTATCTTGTTTGGACATTTCCTTTTGGCTTCCCCTCAAGGTTTTTAAAATGCCTGCTAGAGAGAGGTTTCCACACTCTTATAAAGAATGCTTCGTTCCCCTCTCCAATCGATGTGGGATCTCATAATTCACTCCCCTTCGGGGCCTAGCGTCTTCGTTGGCACTCGTTTCTCTCTCCCATTGATGTGGTATCTCACAATCCACCTTCCTTCGGGGCTCAGCATCCTCGTTGGCACACCTCCCCGTGTCTAGCTCTAATACCATTTGTAATAGCCCAAGCTCACCACTAACAGGTATTGTCCTCTTGGGCTTTTCCTTGCGGGCTTCCCTTCAGGGTTTTTAAAACGTGTCTGCTAGAGAGAGGTTTCCACACCCTTATAAAGAATGCTTCGTTCCCCTCTCCAATGCGTTTGATTCCATTTCCATTTGTCATAGGAAGGTTCCATGATTATTTATTATCATAAAGAGAAGAATATCTCTCCAAAAATCAATTCAATAACTTCTGTTACGAGTGGTGATGAACTATAGGATGAAGTCTTGCAAGTCGACTCATTATCCAACAATTAAGTCTCAGTTTTAGTGGATCCAACTATTGTGCAATGGTATGCATCAATTGTTATTTGCTTATCTTCTTAAGGTGCAAATTGGTTTGTTTGATGGGTTGTTTTCTGAAACATATTCCTGGAAAATGACATGTCAGGTGTAGTGAGGATATTCATTCATGCATTTTTATCATCGACTCGATGATGCGAAATTTCTCGATGTTTATTTTGTTGACATTTCTGAAAGCGACCTTCCATTTTTGGTTTCTCAACCAGGAAAGAACTCAGTTCATCAATAAAGATCTTGTTATGTCAAATGATCCTCCAAGAAACTCCCACAGCTTTTTGTTTATGTGCAAAAGTGAGGAACTCGAGGATTATACTCCACCTTCGATTATCGCTAATCCGAAACCCTTCTCGCTTATGAAGTATAAACGAAGAAGGCAAAGCGACTTACCCTCTGAACTTTCAAAAGCTTCAGAAAACTCATCCATGTCAAACGAAGAACTCAGTCTGTCTGAAATTGCCACTGCATCGCAGACGGATGTAACGATGAGTAGTGTGACGACACCAACTACGAAAAACTTCCTTTCTACCTTAGTGGAATATTCACTCTTAGAATCTACAGAACCAAAGGATTCCCCTGCTCCTCCACCTTCATTAGAAACCTCAGATCTTAGTTCATCTGTGCATCCAAGCATCCTGAAATTCATCCAAGATTTGCAACATGAGATCCACAAGACTTCTATGGAGAGGGAGACACTGAAGTTTGAGCTGTTGAGCGCTCGAGCCATGATCAGTATCCTTCAATCCCGGATTGTCGTGCTGAATAAGGAAATCAATGATTTGAAATCAAACTGATTTGAAGTCAAACTATGATTAGTAGTATCCTTCAATCCTAGATCGTCACGTTGAATACACAGACTGTAACGATAACGAAGAAAAATGCTGAGAGCCAATGGCTATGCCCTGTAAATTGTTGCTTCCATCGTGGTCTCGTGGACGTTATCATTGTAATGTTATTACAACTAGCTCAGTTGTCTAAGCAATTAAGCTATTTGTTGTATGAGTATCAATCAAGTTCGTAAGAACTTCAACTTGTTTAGTGAAAGACCATGCTAAACTTCATGATCTGCTATGGCTATAGACCATTGATGTTGTAACATTAGCTGGTGGCATTTCATGAAATAAGGTTGTCATAACTATTAATGTGATCCCCGTATCTGGTTTCTGTTTCGTTCAAATTTACCCGTAACCTATTGTCAATTAAATTACAAGTTTAGTTGATGAACGGTCATGTTTTTGTCTAAATGGTCTCTAAATTTTAAAATATTTCTAACTGGTTTAAGTCTAAATAGTCTCTAAATTTTAAAATATCTAATAGGCTTTAGACCTTTCAATTTTTTGAACTATTATTTGGTTTAATTTTATAGGTTATCTTTTTTTAAGCTATCTGTTTTAGTTTCATGTTTTCTGAACCGTTATCTTGTTTAATTTCATATTTTCTGAACTTTAATTTTATATTTTTTGAACATCTTATTTGTAATTTAATATGTAAAAATTTATCCATATTTAATGAATGTTAAAAATTTAATATTTTATATTTATCCATTCGAGCTTCGAGAAACTGATATGTTATATTTTCTTAAGCAGTAAGGAAAAGAGACTTTAGTTTCAGTTTTGTCCCATTTAACTCTAAAAAGATAAATGAATGAAAATATTGTAAAAGTTGGTAATTATTTACTTTTTCCAACGTGTAAAATATTTATTTATTTTTAGATATTTAAAGATATAATCTTTTAATTGATTAAAATTATAAAGTTACGTGGAGCCAAACCCATTGAGAGGGGTATGACTCGACATTTGTACTTTTATAATATGAATAAATAATTTGTTTTAATTTAAAAGTAAAATATTTTTTAATTTTTTAATTTTTTTTTGGACTTATTACAAAATTTCTTGTAAGTTCCATGAATGTTTAAATAAATTAAAAAACAATTCAAAGAATTTAAAAGTTTAAAATTAAAGGAAAAGAGTTTAAGTTGATTCTTATTGGATATATATTTTTTATTTTTTATTTTTCAAAATGAAAAAAAAAAAAAGAATCTTTCCTTTATTTTAATCAGATATTAGGTAAAGTAAAGTAAAGTAAAGTTTATCCAAGACACGTCAGCAAGAATTTTTATTAACAGTCTAGTGTCACCATCAAGCAGCATTGGAATCTGCTATTAACACGTGGAGGCTGTGACGCTTTTATTTGTTATTGCATGTGAGTTTAGCGTTCCCTCCGTCGACTTTTCCTGGACATTTCTCTGTACATTTCCCTCCTTTCCAGCTCGTTTTGGAGATTATTTTATATTTCCCTCTTCCGAAGAAATCGTAACCCTAACTCTTTGAACTTTTTTAATATCTCTTCTCAGTTCGATTCTAATCTCAAATCTGAATTTCAATTTCGATTTGAAATCCTAAATCCATTTTCTTGATGGGTCGAGATTCTGCTACTTCGCTAGCACCGGGGTTCCGATTCCACCCTACCGATGAAGAACTTGTTAGTTATTATTTGAAGCGCAAAGTCTCTGGAAAACCCTTTCGTTTTGATGCTATTTCAGATGTTGATATCTACAAATCCGAACCCTGGGATCTCCCTGGTCAATCCCTTGTTCTGTTTGTTGAGATTTGTGTTTGATTTTGTGATTTATTTTCTCGTCGTTCGGATTTCTGTGGAATTGAAGTTGTGTTGTGGGATTTGTCAGGGAAATCGAAGCTGAAGAGTAGGGATTTGGAGTGGTATTTCTTCAGTGCTTTGGATAAGAAATATGGCAATAGTTCGAGGACTAACAGGGCTACGGAGAAAGGGTATTGGAAGACGACGGGAAAGGATCGGCCGGTCCGCCATAACGCGAGGACTGTTGGAATGAAGAAGACTCTTGTGTATCATATTGGGCGGGCTCCTCGTGGTGCACGAACCAATTGGGTGATGCACGAATACAAACTCACGGATGAGGAATTGGGGAAATTTGCAATTGTTCAGGTTAGAATAGGTCGAAATTTTTGGCTCTCTTTCTCTGATTTTCTCGTTGATTTGTGATTTTTGGCTTCGTTGGAAAATGTTGTTGTAATTGTCTTGGGATCTGTTGGTTTTTTTTGTTGGGTTGGAAGGATGCGTTTGTGCTGTGTAGGATATTCCAGAAGAGTGGTACTGGACCAAAAAACGGAGAGCAGTATGGTGCCCCTTTTGTTGAGGAGGAATGGGAAGATAATGATGAGCTGACTTTGGTACCTGGTGATGAGCAAGTGGCGGAAGAAATTCTAGCTGGTGGTGGCATTTTTGTTGAAGGCAATGACTTCAGTCAGGTATGTACTTACCATGTTATAAGTAACTTGCCTAATCAGGTGGAATGGTTTTGTGTTATCTGTCGTTGAGAACTGTGTTTCTGAAATATGATTCTGAACGGGTTGGATGGGCAGATCTATACGAGAGATGCCTAAGATTTGAAAGAAACCTGAGCTTTTGAACATGTATAATGATTGTTAAGCAATTTCCTCAGGTAATTAGGCGTGTTTGCCCAAGAATTGAGTTAATAGTACATGGTTGATGTGAGATTTCACATCGGTTGGGGAGGAGAACGAAGCATTCTTTATAAGGGTGTGGAAACCTCTCCCTAGCAAACACGTTTTAAAAACCTTGAGGGAAAGCTCAAAGAGGACAATATCTGCTAGCGATGGGCTTGAGCCATTACAAATGGCATCAAAGCTAGACACTGGGCAATGTGCCAGTGAGGAGACTGAGAAGGGGGTGCTAGCAAGGATGCTGGACCCTGAAGGGGGTGGATTGAGGGATCCCACATCGACTGGAGAAGGGAAAGAGTATCAGCGAGGACGCTGGGTCCCGAAAGGGGGTGGATTGTGAGATCCCACGTCAGTTGGGGAGGAAAACGAGACATTCTTTAAAAGAGTGTGGAAACTTCTCCCTAGCATACGCGTTTTAAAAACTTGGAGGGAAAGTCCGAAAGCAAAAGCCCAAAGAGGACAATATCTGCTAACGGTGGGCTTGAGCCATTACAGTTGAGCTTGAATTATGGTATTCGTTAAGTGGGGAAAATCCCCAACAACTATAGAAGAATAGAGGATAAACTTCGAGAATCTCTTAGGCTTGGAGCAAACCCTTTCGCTACCTGAAACCAAGAGTCCATGCTTTTTTTGATAGCTGAAACCAGTTGAAAGTTGAGTTAGGACTGAAATCTAAACGAGCAACTGGCTCACAGACCAAGATTGTATGACCTTGCCGGTGGTTTGGTTGGAGTTGTTTGCAAACCAGGTGCATGTTGGTGTTATAGAGAATAGCTTTCAGGAGGAAACAAGTAATGAGAAACTACGACGGATTTCTATATTTAATAAGCGGAAGATCTAAATGATGGGAAATCAGGAACAAAATAGAGTGGGTCGGTGAGCGAAAGAGTGAAACAATCTCTAAAAGTATGTGAAATTACGATGAATCATGTTATATTCTTTTCTGCAGAATGTCGATGAAGATCTTCTATCTGAAATTGCACCACCACCACCATTCGACTTCTATTATGGTGAGTCGAGCAACTCTATGGAGCAATCTGACAATTTCATCGAAGATGATCGAAAACCTGCAGTAGGCATATGTGAGACATCAGAGCTACCCGATGGACAGAAGTTCTTTGTTTTACCAGATGAGTGTCGATTACGTGACAGATTGGTCAAACATGAGTATCTTGCTGAATCAAGCAATGCTGCTGCTGATGAGATCGATGCTAGTGATGTCGATGGTCATTACGCATTGGACAAGCCATTCTTTAGTACTTCTGATAATCCTTCTTTTAGTGATGAACTACTTTTGGAATCCAATGAGCTCTCAAACCCTACTGATAGTGATCCTGCTGCTTTTGACGTGCTTGAAGAGTATCTTACGTTCTTCGACGCAGACGGTGATAACGTAGATTTGTCTTTCGATCCCTCCGAAATTCTCGAGAGTGAGAGCTCTGTTCCTGATCAAGCAGTTCTTCCAGAGGTCAGTACTGCTTCATTTCGCAACTTACTTTTATCGTCTTGCTACAGGGAATTTACTTTTCACCTACGCATCATATTTCGTTAGGTCGTTGGTGGTGCCACTGAACATGCATCTCCCAACAAACATACTTCAGATTTACGTTACGACAACGAGGCTTCCTCGTCCTCGTCTATGCAAAGATCCGAGGATCCAAAACCAGAATCAGGTTAGTTGAATTCCATGTTAGTTTTTTCCTTTCCATTTAGATATTTCCAACACTTTTGGCTCATTCTTTCTTTTCTGGTACCAGATCTCAAATACCCATTCCTCAAACACACAAGCCACATGCTGGGCAGCATTCCTGCTCCATTTGCTTCACAGTTCACTTCAAAAGATGCTGCTCTTCATCTTAACTCAGCTCCACAAGCTTCAAGCTCCGTTCGTGTCACCGCAGGCATGATCGTCATAAGAAACACAACACTAAATGGAGACGAAATGAACAACTTATATGGCAAGAATTCAGTTCTCAACCTTATCTATTTGTACGGGATCGTCGAAGGCGACATCTATCCCTCTCAGTTGTCACCAACTGCTGATGCACATCACAGCAAGTCGGGATCTCTGATGTCTCGCTACTTCGTCTACTTCTTCATCCTGTTCTGGCTTCTAATCCTTTCAGTGAGCTTCAAAGTTGCAAGGTGCATCCATTCCAGGTGACTTATCTATTCAAGTTTCAATATCCAAAACTCAAGAAACATCGAAAAAGTAGTATTAGCTGGTAGTTTAGAAACTTTCTAGGCTACCTCCTGCAATATCTATTCAAATATCAATAGTTCTAGACTAACTGCCAATGAATTGGTGGCTAACTAAACTTTTTATCTCTTCCTTCTTTTGTATTTTAATTTCAGAACTTTTTACAGTTCATAGTTGCAGGGCTTTACTGTACTTTACCAATTTATTAGAGTAAAGGTCGGAAGCTTCTCTTTCCACGACGTTTATGTAATTCGTTCGATAAACCATCTTAATCTTCAATAAGCATAAGCTGTATGAAGTTAACTCTCTGGTTGGATTCCTTTTGATGGATGAAGCTTTTATGGCTCGGTTTTTAAAATTTTAATTGACATGTATTATCGACCAGTTTGGAACTTACGCAGTTCATGTCTCATATATTGTCGTTGGATTAAATAAAACCATATATTATTATTGATTTGCTGACAACTTAGGAGCAATATTCACATATAATATATGGTTTAATACAAATATGAAAGTAGCATAAAGCAGCTCAGATATAAAATTTTGAGGCTCAAGAGGCATGTGATGTTGATGAGCCTTACATTTCTCCGGGAAGCATTGTGTCTTCTGGTAGATCACAAACAGCAATACCCTGATAGAAGGAGGAGACAATAATCCATGATTAATAGATCACTAAGTAGGATTAAACATAAACATGGAAATTTACTTAATTCTGACCTCTCCTGTGAGGTGAGCCACACATCTCTTCTCAGCTAGCAGCTCAGCTTCAGTCTGTAAAACACAACAGGGTGTGAGCTAGTTCAACAGTAGCATAGCAGTGGCTCGGAATGGAATGACTTTATGAGTGTTTTAAGCACTTGAAAAGTCATTCCAACCGGATCCTCGTAGCCGAAGACTTACGGACACGGGAGGAAAAGGATAACATAGCACAGACCTTGGCAATTCGCTTGCGGAGATAGTCATCGAATATCACATCTTTCACAAGTTCATAGTCACCATCTCCCTGAGAGCAGACATATTTACTGGTTACAGACGTTAGGACATGGGAGTTGGAGATGAAAGTTGGGAATAAATGGTACCTTTGATCTGCACGGCATGCTGAAAACGATATCCTCTGCTATTCCGTAAGGATTTCCAGTGGAGTATACCTACAAATCGATCGGTTTTTATGAGCTCGAGGTTGGCTCTTCGTTTGCATATGTTTATGTTAGGAGTCATAGTAGATTGAATTGGCTTAACACTCATCCACCTAAGTTAGATCTCATATCGGTTAGAGAGACGAATAAAGCATTTCTTATAAGGGTGTGGAAACCTCTTCCTAGCATACGCGTTTTAAAACTGTGAGGTTAACGACGATACGTAGTGGGCTAAAGTGGACAATGTTTGCTAGTAGTGAGTTTAGACTATTACAAATGGTATCAAAGCCAGACACGAGGCGGTGTGCCAACGAGGACACTGGACCCCTAAGAAAGGTGGATTGTGAGATCCCACCTTGGTTGAAAAAGAGAACAAAACATTCCTTACAAGGGTGTAGAAACCTCTCCCTAGCAGACGCGTTTTAAAACTGTGAGGCCGATAACGATACATAACGGGCCAAACCAGACATTATTTGCAAGCAATGGACTTGGACTGTTACAAATGGTATTAAAGACAAACACGGGGCGGTGTGCCAGCGAGAACACTGGACCCCTAAGAAGGGTGGATTATGAGATCCCGCATCGGTTGGAGAGGAGAATCAAAGCATTCCTTATAAGGGTATGAAAACCTCTCCCTAGCAGACGCGTTTTAAAACTATGAGACTAACAGCGATACATAATGGGCCAAAGCGGACAACACCTGTTTAGTGGTGAGTTTGGACTGTTCCACTCTCCCTAACCTCCAAATAACCCAACTCTCTAGCTAAACATTTCTATCCCTACGCCCGTCACGATACAATCGCTTAGAATTACAAACCCAACACCCTCCTCCACCCTTCCCGTTTGACGAATAAGCACGCCGAATTCGAGCCCTACCAGCCTACAAACACAATATCAAGAGATACAACATGAGATCTAAGCTTACCCCAGATGAAAACCAATCCCCTTCAGGAGTTGGAGTGATCAAAGACCTTATAGCATCAACAATCGATACAGAAGTTGAAGCAGCTGAAGATCTTCCCCATTTCTCAATCAGCACACCTCCCCTCTGCAAATCAAAACCAATCAAAAACACTATTTGATCCATTGAGCAGTGAACATTGCAACACTCAATGTGTTATTACCTTCTGTACTTTTTCAGTAAACTCCTCTTCCAACCACCTATGATCCTTAATAACCTCTTTAACAGGTAACCCATTAATTCTTGCATTCAAAAAGTCCGGAACCTGGTGCGAATACGATGAAATAAGCATACAAATCGAGGGAATTTTCGAAGCTTCTCGAGCAAAAAGTACCCAATAACCTGAGTTGTCGAGTGGTTGCCCCAAATGGTCATATTCGACACTTGATCATAGAAGACACCCGCTTTCAGAGCCAGCTGAACAAGCCATATTTAGAAAGTACTCGAAAACATATCAAATACGAGGAAACGGGCATCATACCTGACATTTTGCTCGATTCTCGTCTAGTCGAGTTAAAGCGTGGAAATTCTTAGCGGGAATTTTCGGAGCGTTTTTCAAACAAATTAATGCACTACATGAATGAAACGGACAAAGAGAAGTTATATCTTGTACACACTTTAAGAGATTCATACTAAATGAAACATGAACTCACTTGGTGTTGCATGGATTGCCCACAACAATGACTTTGACATTTGGGGATGCCACAGCATTTAGAGCTTTTCCCTAAGTCCATTGATATATAATAACTAAAGATTCCGGTGTTTCTTGGACGGGTAAAACAAAGGAAGTGAAAACGAGATAATCGACGTACTTGTTCAGCGAATATCTGTCCGTTTATATCTAATAAACCAGCACGTTCCATTCCCGGACCTCGAGGCTTCGCTCCTATCAAAAGAGCCCAGTCTGCATCTTGGAATACTTCATAAGGATCAATGCTTATTACTACCTCCCTTAACAAAGGGAAAAGGGAGTCCTCTAATTCCATAGCAACACCTGCATATGAAGATTATTGTCAAATAGCTCGATGATTTTCGGTATGATCTCGAAGTTTAATGGTTTACGGCGTTATAGATGTGAAGTTCTTGTTTAACTGTTATCGAGGCATCGAGAGAAAAAAGACTAATACTATAACAGTCCAAGTCCACCGCTAGTAGATATTGTTCTTTTTGAGCTTTTCCTTTTGGGCTGGGCTGGAGAGGTTTCCACACCCTTATAAGGAATGCTTCGTTTCCCTCTCCAATCGATATGGGATCTCATAATCCACCCCCTTGAGGGCCCAGCTTCCTCGCTGGCACACTGTCCGATGTCTACCTTGGTACCATTTGTAACAGTCCAAGCACACCGATAGCAGATATTATCCTTTTTGGGCTTTCCCTCAAGGTTTTAAAACACATCCACTAGGGAGAGGTTTCCACACCCTTATAAGGAATGTTTCGTTCCCCTCTCCAACCGATGTGAGTTCTCATAATCCACCCTCCTTGGAGGCCAGCGTTCTCGATAGTACTCCGCTCGATGTCTTGCTCTGATACCATTTGTAATAGTCCAAGCCCACCGCTAGCAAATATTTTCTTCTTTGGGTTTTCCCTTCTGGGCTTCCCCTCAAGGGTTTAAAACGCGTCCACTAAGGAGAGGTTTTCACACCCTTATAAGGAATGCTTAGTTCCCCTCTCCAACCGATTTGAGATCTCATAATCCACCACCCTCGGGCGCCCAGCGTCCTCGTTGGCACATCGCCCGATGTCTAGCTCTAATACCATTTATAACAATCCAAGTCCACCGCTAGCAGATATTGTCCTCTCTGGGCTTTCCCTCAAGGTTTTAAAATGTGTCCCTTACGGAGAGGTTTCAATGCCCTTATAAGGAATGTTTCGTTCCCCTCTCCAACTAACGTGGGATCTCAAAGCAAAGCAAAACTGACGTTTATTCTAAATCTGCTGAACTTGCCTTCAAGTGCTTGGAGTGACCTCTCAGATCCCAATAGTTTCAATGCAATTGGTTGATCAGGACCAAAAACTTCACCAGCTGCAAGCTAGTGAAACAACCCAAGTAAGATTTCATCAAACTATCAGAACATAACGAGGTTGTTTTATATGAATTCTTACCTTGAACAGAAGATGATTGGATATCATTCCAGCAGCACCAGAGACAGCAATATTGATCATTTTCTTCCATGATGTTGTCTCTTCTTCCTATGATTAGTACCAAACATGTCAGTGCTGAAGACAACATTTGTCCAATCTGACAGAACTAGCAGCAAACAACTTCTTCAAAGTTAATTTTAAACAAGAAACATGGGTTACGAGAATTTATACACCCGATCTTCAAAGTTATTATCGTTGAGCTATACTCACTTTCGACATATATATGTTCACGCCGATTATAAAGAACAGAAAAAATTTGCAAAATAGGGTGAAAATCTGTAACGGCTCAGACTCATCGCTAGCAGATATTGTCCTCTTTGGATTTTCCCTTTCGGGCTTTCCATCAAGGTTTTTAAAACACGTCAGTTAGGGAGAGGTTTCCACACCTTATGAAGGGTGTTTCGTTCTCCTCCCCAATCGATGTGGGGGATCTCACAATTCACCCCCTTCGGGTCCCAGCGTCCTTACTGGCACACCGCCTCGTGTCTACCCCCTTCAGGGCTCAACCTCCTCACTGGCACATCGCCTAGTGTTTGGCTCTGATACCATTTGTAACGGCTCAAGCCCACCGCTAGCAAATATTGTCATCTTTGAGCTTTCCCTTTCGAGCTTTCCCTCAAGATTTTTAAAACGCATCTACTAGGAATCAGCCTCTTCGCTGGTACATCATCCAATGTCTGGCTCTGATACCATTTGTAACAACCCAAGCCCACGCTAGGACATATTGTCATCTTTGAGCTTTCCTTCGAACTTTCCCTCAAGATTCTTAAAACGCGTATGCCAGGGAGAGGTTCCACACCTTCTAAAGGGTGTTTCGTTCTCCTCCCCAATCGATGTGGGGGATCTCACAATTCACCCCCTTCGGGTCCCAGCGTCCTTACTGGCACACCGCCTCGTGTCTACCCCCTTCAGGGCTCAACCTCCTCACTGGCACATCGCCTAGTGTTTGGCTCTGATACCATTTGTAACGGCTCAAGCCCACCGCTAGCAAATATTGTCATCTTTGAGCTTTCCCTTTCGAGCTTTCCCTCAAGATTTTTAAAACGCATCTACTAGGAATCAGCCTC